TTTCTTGCTTCAATACAGCCACTTCAGCTCCTAAGGGGCTGTTAATGAGCTGATCAGCTTAATCAGTTGTGTTGGGAGCAGTGAAAAACTAAAAGGTGCAGAGCAGCTGGCCTCCAGGACCAGGGTTGATGAACACTGGTGTAAAGCACGCCATCACTGGACTCTGGGGCAGTGGAAACGTTGTCTATGGAGTGATGATTCACGAATCTCTGTCTGACAGTGTGATGGAGGAATCTGGGTTTGGTGGATGCCAGGAGAACGCTACCTACCAGAATGCACACTGCCAACAGTACAGTTTGGAGGAGGAAGGATAATAATCTGGGGCTGTTTTTCAGGGTTTGGGCTCGGCCCCTTAGTTCCAGTGAATGGTACTGTTAACGCTACAGCACACGAAGACATTTTAGACAGTTATATGCCTCTAACTAATGTTTGGCGAAGCCCCTTTTCTGTTCCAACATGACTGTGCCCCTGAAAACAAAGTGAGGACCATAAACGCATGGTTTTACAAGTTTGGTGTAGAGGAACACATGGAGTGAACTGCATGGAGCCCTGACCTCAACCCCACTGAACACAACTAGAATGAAATGGAACATCAATTGTAAGCCAGGCCTTCTTGTCCAACTCTTTTGACTGAATGGGCACAAAATCTTGTGGAAAGCCTTTCCAGAAAAGTGGAGGCTGATACAGATACAAAGGCGGGCAACACCGTATTAATATCCAATGGTTTTGGAAAGGGATGTCCAACAAGCGCATATGTGATGGTCAGGTGTTCACATACTTTCGGCCATATAGTGTTCAACCAGAGCATTAAAAGCATTAATAGTCAGAGGTCAGGACAAGTCAAATTTGCCAACTTCCAGCTAATAAAATATTCTAGCACCGTGTCTTGCTGAGAAACAGGTTTGAAAAAATACACAAAAATATTATTCAAATACGACATTTGTTAAGCATACATTTATGTAGGGAACAGAAGGTTTGCACTGCTCTGCAATAAGGAGATTATTAAAGCACAGTAAGCATGTTATGCATACCTTTAAAAGCTTCTGTAGCCCCCGGTGCATGATTCTTATCAGGATGGAACTTGAGTGCTAGTTTCCTGTATGCTTTTTTAAGGTCATCGTCTGATGCATCTTTCTGGACTCCAAGTATCTCATAGTAGTTCTTACATTGTTTTATTCTGCCAAAAACAGAACAGAATAGCTGAAAACAAGTATACATTTGTATTTGAATTTGGCTAATATAATCTACAAGTTCTACAAATAATTTAGAAGTGCGAAAAGCCTCTATATGAGTTGTGATTTAGATTCAGCTCTGCCCCTCACCACACAGGCACTCCCCCTTTTAAAGTTCTTATACATATCACATAACCACTGTTATTTCACTGTGAAAAAACAATCGTTCATATTACTGATGACACTTAAGTTCAGCACAAACAAACAGCACCCACGATTATCACAGCTTTAGCTGTTGTAATACTCATATTGCAAAGGGGTGCAATGTAAATGAGTCCTCCGACAAGGCTACTACATTTTTACTGTGTGCTGAGGGCGTTCTGCCCAACCTCTGACGTTTGAGATGATTCTGTTGGTTTTTTTATGAATCAAGGCATTTCCATTACCCAGAAAATGCAAAACAAAACAATGTTAATCTTTTATGTCATAATATTAAGGGTGTTTATATAGTCACAATGTGGAATATTGCTCATATTGTACAGTCCTATTCCTGATGTTCACCCAGAAGACATGGCAAAATATCTTAGTGTGACTGAATTGAAATCTGTACAAAATGTTTGATCAAAATGCATAAATAAGAAATGTGGATGGTTTAAAGAGTTAGGATTTTAAATGTGAAACAATTTCAACATATAAAAAAAGAAAATATATATTTCAAAATATGATAATAGAGTCTCTACAAGGAACAAACTTAAATATGGTATTTTGTTGCAAATTTTAGTGCATGATTTCTATTTATCTGCTGAGTTTGACATACTGTAAAAATTACATCATAAAATCTAAAATATGACAATGTTTTTTTTCTTCTAATATGTTAAATTCATGAAATAAACAGTAATTGTGCATTAAAATGTGCAAAACTGTGTTCCCGTTTGTGAGCCCAGGGGCGGTCAGGCATATATATATATATATATGTGTGTGTGTATAGCGCCCCACACACTTTAACAAATAAAATATTTAAAATCGAATTGAATCTAAAATAATGCTGAACAGTTTTATCAAGGGGAGTATCAACTGTAATAAAACAATCCACTGGCAGCACCTTTTGACAGCATCCACTTGGTCCTTAGTGAATGCTTTTGCTGAGTCAGAGCTTCTATCCTCTTCAGCTTTGTGGTTTTCGGACCTGATTTCCGAAGCCTCTGTTTCTTCTGAAGATCCATTCTGAGTGGAAGCATGTTCATTCTGCTGCAGTGACTCCAACAATGCTGTAAACACCATAAGTTCAATAAGATTAATACTAGCTGTCAATCTGATCTCCAAAAGCGAGCCTTAAACTAAATTAACCTAGTGAAACAAGCTAAAGCAGCCCAACAGCTACAGTGCTATCTTCCACTAAGATTAGTCTTTCTAACTTAAATTGCTTAATATGACTCTGTAAGCTTTAGAATTAGATGTAAATTTCTGGATACGCAGTGCCTCTGCACAGTAAAGCTGTCAACTGTGACCAGAAATTCAAACAGAATTGTCTCTACGTTTGTGGTCAAATATTGGAATATATTTGAATTTTAAATATGGTATTTTTAAAATATGTATATATGACATACAGTGCTGTATGTCCAGTTCACATATGTACTGTGTGTCGCTGTAGACTGCTTTGGACATTGTAATGTAGATTTTCTACATTTCAATGTGCACTTTTCATTGAATTTCACAAATATTTGACTATACATTTTTATCCTGACTTCCCAGATTTGTGTTACTCCAAGGCTCATATTTGTGAAGAGTAACAGTGCTGATCTAGGACCTGTTCCTGTAGTTCAGTTCAATGTACGTAAGAGAGAAATCTGATACTACATCAGCACTCCTTACTTCAAGAATCTTTATGAATACAGGTCCTGGTCTTACTCACTTGACTCAGCTCAGGATTTAGCTCACTGTGCAGTGCAGGTGGACTACATGACACCTTAACCCAGCAAAGCAGGTGGGTCCAGGTGCATTTGAATAGTAATGTCTGATTCGCTAGATCAGGGCTGGACTTAAATCAGGGCTGGGTGATACTGATAAAATTCAATATCATGATGTTTTCTGGATACATTTTTCTATTACATTATCAGATAACATTTTAGCTTGCATTAATAAAGTTGCTGAGCCCAAATTTTCTGAGTAGCTAGCCTATGCTAAGAGAATGTCTTACAAACCTAAGACAGCTAGTTTTGATTTGAATGTTTCTTATAATATTCAACAAAATATGCACTAAAAATCTTGGTGTGTTGCTATAGTTTATTCTCCACCACTGTGCAAAGAGTTCACATTTGTGGGTTTAGTGTATTTTGTTGAAATACGTCTGAATCATGTCAAAATAATCAAACTGAATTGTGGTGAAATTTGAGATGATGCACCAAATTTACACCCCTCATGGTAAGGGGTACAGTGCAGCCTGGATAAGTAACTAGGAGGAGGTGCAGTGTAAATAAATGACTGAGGGTGCACATCTGTTCCTTATTCACACCATCTATATATACACCCTGCTTGGAGACCAGAGAGGAAGCCTTTACCTGCGTGCTGAGTGTGTGAGAACCTGCAAAGAGAGTAAAGTGCTGCTGAAAAGCTCTTGGATTATTCCTTCACGTTTCTGTCACCCCTCATCTCTCAAAATAACTGTTCAGACTGTCCTGTGTGTCAGCTCTCCAAGCCTCTCCAGCTCCTTTTGGCCATGTGTCCAGTCCTAGTCCTAGGTCAGGACGTGCCCCTGCATATCTTTCTTCTTTACCTACTTCACAAAACCACTTCACACTGATAATCTGACGGTAATGTATGTCAAAACGAGAAATGCGTTGAGCTGTGCAGAACACTGGGACACTGGGACACACGGAACACTGCTCTAATCCTTAAGGGCCTGATGACAATAATACTAATTCACGCTTGTACATTATAACCCACGTAGCACTGAATCATTCAGCCATGCATTGCGAGACACAAACTTGCCTGCATTTTAGACCCAGACCTGACTTTACACTGACATCGTTATCCTACATAGACAGAATCAGTCAACTGTACACTTCACACCACTGCGGCGCAGCCTATATTAGAAGTACGTCAGAACACGCTTCTAAAATGCCTCTAAGATAGTCAAATAATTACAATATCCGCATCGTAAACACTATCAAGGGCTGGGCAGCAAGAATATCCACGTTATACGGACTGTCAGAAAGAGCGCAGGCCGTTATGTGCTCCACTGTAGCAGATTATCCTGAAGCTATCCGGCTAACCGATACGGCAGTAACGCTAGTGGGTTTATCTCCTCTTACCTTCTGCCTTGTCGGTTGGAAAGAGTCTCTGTGCTTTTTGTAGAAACCGCCGAGCTTTGTCAGCTTGGTTATTTCTTATTGCGTTGACTGCAATCTCGATACAGCGCTCGGCTTCGTCCTTATTTCCTTCCATTGCGGAGCGTAACAGTCACCGTTAAAACAGGAGCTACACGAAAAAACATACGCTACCTAAGAACGCACCCCCCTCAGCGCCTACTGATGACGTAGAGCCAAGGCAGAGAATTTGATGCTGCTGAACTGATAAGAACCCGCTATATTTATTTTCTTATCCCATCACAAATGAAGTTATTATTATTATTACTATTATTATTATTTACTTTAACTTTGGTTTATGTTTATGTAACTCTCTGTTGTTATAAGTCTGCACGCTGTCATTTTGAGTGGTCATTTGTATCTCTGTAAGGCTTAGCTAAATAATACCAAATCCTCCTTTATTTGTATGTACATTTGAAGCTAAAAGTATGGAGACATTATGGACTGGTCTTTCACTTTTTGTCTTGTTTATTTTTGTCATAGCATATACATTTACTATATACTGACCCAAGAAAAGGTTAAACATTTCTATGAACATCATGGGGTAGGAAGGGTTCAGTGAGTACAAGTTAATATAACAACTGTGTGATACCACAAATTTTCTTTTTGATTTGATAGTACGTAATACCAAAGACCAATACCAATATTTATAATAGATTCTGTGGGAAGATAAAAAAGAGAATTATTTGTGATGTCTAGAGTGAAACACAGTAAATGTGGCATAAGAAGTATATTTGAAAGCCTTTGTATTAGTATTAAATAAACCAGCAAATAAACAGACAGTGTAGTAGAGTGAAATAACCCCATATGATCTGCCATCATAGAGCATTCTCTCTGTCTTGTGTGGCGGCCTGGGTGCGCGTATAGGAGAAGCAGAGAGAGAAGGTGCAAAAAGGTAATTCCTATCCTACACATTTGTTTCCTACAATATTTTTCCCCACTTTTACTGCATTAACAACACATTCAGTTTTATAAAAGACAGATATGCAGTTTACCGCTTAATGAAAACACAGCAGGGACACAGGAAGTGGTGCTGCTAAGGGGGCTGCAGCACCCCCTGATTTCAGGACTGCAGTTGTTAAAAATAATAATAATCATAACAAAACGTTCTGAACTTTATAAAAATCTGAGCATAGTAAAGACCCATATGTGCTGTTTAAGAGCGGAGTTTGTATTTTTTATATTTTGAAAAACATATCTGATTTACTTAAAAAAATTAAAAACAAAAAATCAAATAAAAAAAGAAATCATTTTGCATGACATCATTGCTCAAGTCACACACACTCTGCTTAAAATTTCAGCACCACAACTTAAAACACTTTACCATGTCCCTGACTCTTAGTATCAATATTTTCATGTGAGAATTGATTACAAAATGTCAGAATCAGGTCTGCACGATACGCTCATCCTGACCCATCAGATGATTAATGGTGAAGACTTTGTAATTTCACTCCATAAAATTTTTTTTTTAGTTTGTTTTACTTTACTTTTGTTGTGATGGTGTTAATAATTACCATATGCTGTCACAAGAAAAGGTTTAGCATTTTATTGACGTCTTCTGGTGGGTACGGTTCAGTGAATACAAGTTACTGTAATTACTGTGGGCCAGAAAATAAGAAAAGGGAAATGTATGACCATGCACATTTCCCTGATATATACTTTCACTTTCACAAAGAAGCAGTAATTCAGATAAACATCATCTGGTTTGGTCCATGCATGCTCTCAGTAGTAAAGGCCATTCAATAGTAATATTGCAACACCTCCACTGGGTGGCTGATGCCTGGTTTATATGTCAGCAACTTAATAGGTTACATTCATATTTTTTGATGAAACTGAGCCAGGTCAGCTGAGCTGAAGTCTGACTAGAACCTGTTTAGTTTGCCTAAAAAAGTTGGATCTAGCTTTAAAAAAAAAAAAAATCAAGTAATTGCGCCATAAATGTAAGTACATTCCATGAAGACAAACATTACTTTTACTTATTTGTATATACTAACATGCAACAAACATTTTATGGCATCACATGATTAGTTGAGTTTTGCTAATTGTTATAATTACAATTATGAGTCATTATTTTGAGTTATAAAATTAACAGTGCTGTAATATTTCAAAAGGTTTAGCACCTACATCTCAGAGTGCTTGAAAGACTGTGTTCCAAACAGATTTTAAGATCATGCAGTACTGCAACACTAATATAACACCCTGAGTGTAAAACAAAAAAAACAGTGAGGAGTTTGCTTTATGCACCAAAGATTCTGAACTCAATATCCATATTGTTAGTTTCATTATTATTACTAGTAGTAATAGTCATTGTAGTACGCCATCTTAGACATGCTCGCTACTTATTGTAGCTTATTGTCTTGGTAATGCCTCTTTACTGAGGTATACGGAAAGGCCACTTTAAGACGGATGGCAGCGTATTATTCAGGCACTGAAAGAAAGAGGAAATGTTTTCAGGTAGTGGGTTGTTCTTAAGACTGGAAGATTTGGTTGGTTAATTAGAGTCTGAGTGCAGCGTCCTCTATATATTCACAGGACCAGTGGTCAGTGAGGTGTCAGTTCACTTTCATCCCTTGAATCACTGCTTTCGTCATCCCCCTCCATACCCAGCTGCTCAAAGTCCTCCTCGTCTTCATCGCCAAAATCATCTTCATCTTCCTGAGCTGGCTGCTGCTCTGATGTTTCAAGCCCCAAAAATCGCTTTAGAAGGGCAGCAAGCGCCTCCACGTCACTGAGAGAAGAAACAAGATTGTGAATTCATTTTCACAAAATGACGTATGTTTTCATGCTCCCAGCCATGCTTGGCTTGTTTGATCATATAAAATGATAAAGGTTTTATAGCTTAATCCTCTGTCCTTTTCCCTTCTTGTGTAAAAGCAAAAACAACAACAAAGCAAAATGACAGAATTCAACTGCAGGTATAGAATGCAAAGTGAAGAGATCTGGGGAAAACAAGAAAACAGTTTGATGCATTATTCTACATTTGTGTCCAAAGAGAATCTTAAAAGAAAATCCCACTGATTTCTCAAAATTTCTGTATAATTCAATTGTTGAGATGTAAACCAATTCATGGTCATTTATACTGGTTTTATGTGAAATGGTTCATTGTACAGAAACTTATTAAGTCTTATTTCTTCACCGTAGAGGTGACAGGAACCCATGGTCACAAAGTTTACAGAGCAAGTATAGCCATTTATTTACTATCCAAAATGAACAATGAACTAACGTGTCCTCTACCATGAGTTATATGTAATGTTGATTATTGTTAAATAGTGGTAAAAAATGGATCCATGAATGGATCTTAAAAAATACATTTAGGCCAAAATTTTTATCTCAGAAGAACCATCATAAAACATTGTCTCAGACATGGGATTCTTCACTGTTTCATGTGATAACTCTCCATGATGTAGATTTAGAGGCAGAAACGTTTCAGATTTTGGCACCTATTACTACCACTATAAACAATTTTAGCTCATTAAGTTTCTCTAGAACTGTGCTTTTCATACCAAACCACTCTGAATGACTTTGCGTATATCTTAACCATTTAATTATGCAGAAACTATTTCATTATGCACAGATTTTCCCTGTATATAATTCCATTGTTCCATTGATGTAAACAAAGTCATTCAGAGTGATTAGATGTGAAGAGACTCATTGTGGAGAAACTTACAGATTTCTTTACAGTGGAGGTGATAGGAATCAGGGGTCAAAAATGGTAAAAGTGATAAATCTGTTTTCTGTGGATACTATTTTGCATGTACCCCTCTGCCATGAATGGATTTAAAAATATATACCTTCTAGGCCAAGATCTTAACTCAAAATTCGTAATTCGTAAAACAACGTATCAGGCATCAAGTAGCCTATTTATAACCATTTCATGTAAATGCATTAATGCTTTTAGAGGCATTAAATGCTCCAGATGCTCCAGCCTGGTTCCTATCACCACCCCTGTGAAAAATTCTGACTCAGTAAGTTTCTCAAGAATGGTACATTTGACATCAGACCACACTAAATGACTTTGTTTATATCTTTACCATTTACTTATGCTGAAATTTTAGAAAATCAGTGGAATTCCCTTTTAAGTTATTTGTGCAGCAGTTGACGCTGGCAGTGCACATGGTTTTAACATGAACAGAAGTGTGTGTTTAAATGCTAACCTGCGGTCCCCAAGAGTGGCGTTCTGTGTGAGAGGATGAGAGAATCCAGTGGCCATTCGCAGCACCAGCACATAACCCTTCCCCAGATAGCGCACCTTCTCCTCCTGAATGCATATGTCCCGCAAGTGCCGCAAATCCAGAAGCACTGATGGAAATACAACTAAAGCTATGTTTTCCAAAGCTCTGACAATATTCTTAACATTATTTGAAGAGAAAAGGTGACAGATAGGAAAGATTATGGATATGCAAAACAGAATGCTTACCTTTTTCATGACCTTTTCTCCACAGGGTGAGTATCCTTGCATATAGACTGAAGGTTTTCAGCTCTATCTTTCCCTTGGATTTGTCAAAAACAGCCTCCTGTAGATTAAGAAAAAAGGCATTTCTTAAAGAATACGTTGGAATGAGAGCACTGGAAGTGTGTGAAAGGGAAAAAGAGAGATGTACATACTTCCCACTCCTCCATGTTTTGTAAGGCGACAAATAAGCAGCCCGTAACATAGAACAGCTTCCATAACACACTGTCTACAACGCACAGACAAAAACATAATTACAGAAGAATTCAATAATGAAATGTTTCTGTGCCAAATATCACTGCTTTAGGGAACACCATATTCACCTGAACTGTAATATGCAGCTGCCAGGCCTATAGAGGCAATGCCTGGAGAAAGGAAAGAGGAAGCATCATTTAAAAATAGAGAAGAGAAGCTCCCTGTAAGTTAGCCATATAAACTTATTTGATCTTCTGTCATACCAACGAGTAGAGACCAGGACCGAATCCCAGGTGTTCTCTTCAGATGGAGAACATCAGCAGTGTGCTTCTCAATCACCATATACACCATCTGGGGGGAAAAACATGAGAATCATTATTGTTTTAAACATCCATTGTTTAGGTCTCTAAATTAACGTAGAAAATCACGGCTGAACGACAGTTTAAGTGAATCTCTTTTACCACAAAGCAGTGATAGCGACGCCTAGATAAAACTGCATTAAGACATACGAAGCTGAAGTTGGCTTCCTATTCGCCAGCTGCTTGCTCTAATTTCCCGTTCCACCTTAAATGCCGCAGTTACAGTGTGGCGCCTGAGGAAACTAAATGCCTAAGGCGCCAGAATGTAACTGCTGCACCATTTAAGGTGGAACGGGAAAATTCGAACACTGGCGAACAGGAAGCCACCTTCAGCCTCGTTTAAGACATGATGAAAATATGAACAGTTATTATTAATATGAGACTGAAGCCCCCACCCACACATGGACTGATCATCTCGGATGGAGCTCATCAGTCAGCCGGGCTGCGCTGCAAGTGTAAGCTCACCTTATCAGATCGCTGAAGTTCCTCCGCGTCTAAATGTCAGAATCCACCTTTTATTTTTACCACAATGTCATTTACTGGACAGTGTTTTGATCAAGTCCATACGTTTCACTCACACCTTCTGGTTTTTCCAACTTCCTCCAAAGCCCTCTCCATTCTGATTGGCTAACGGCGTCACTAAGCCCCGCCTCTAATGGCCCCTCCTCAAAAGACTTCGGACTCGAAAACACTTATACGCTAATGAAGTGAATTGAGTGTGTTTTTTATCTCCGAGACCTCCATATTTCGTGGATATCCTGCTTTTATGAATGCGTGATAAAAAAGTAAAGCAGCTCTTTTTATCTTGGCTCAAAAAACGCACGGACAAGGTGACGTAACCGCGCGGTAGAGCCGACCGTTGCGGGGTTTTTGCGCATGCGCGCTGGCTCAGCTGAAGGACAATGAAGGCTGCTGTGGTGTCGAGTAGCCGAGGAGCTTTTCTTCAACATTTCTTCTGCGTTTTTGGTTTCAGAATGGGTCGTGTTGTACGTGGCGACAGACTTGTTGCTGTCAGCTGTAGGTCGTGTGAGTGTGAGCGCATCTGCACTGTTTTCTGATGAACATTTGGACCTCAAGAGTCAAAACCGAGCAGCCTGCCCGTGGTGTCAGTCGCTTTCGTTTTTCAGTGGAAACACTCTTTTCTCCGAAGCTGGACTAACGTTAACTGCTTTCAAGTCAGGAGAGCAGCCTATAGCCTTTTTAGTTCAGGAGCAGCCGCCATAGGTAAGGACACGAGAAAGTAGGGTTCTAGCCGGTTCTAGTGAATCTAACCATACACATATTCACAGTTTCGATACTGTTTCGTTTCCGTGCTCAAAATTCGTTGTTCGATGCGATTTTCGATGTCATGTGCTGTGTAAACAGAGCTTTAATCATATACTACATAGATTTTTTGAGCTCAGTAAACGATTTTGCTGCTTAACAAGAGACTGAAGAGTAGCATGTCCTGTAAAATCGTGGTATTATAAAACAGTGCAACTGAGCTATAAGCAGTGGAAAAACTGGAACTTACCTTGATCATCCATAACGTTAAAACCACCTGCTTGTTCCTACACTCATTGTCTATTTTATCAGCTCCACTTACCGTATAAGTGCACTACAGTTATACAATCACCGACTGTAGCCCATCTGCTTCTCTGCATGCATTGTTAGCCCCCTTTTACCCTGTTCTTCCACAGGACCATGACAGAGCAGTTATTTTTTGGGTGGTGGATCATTCTCAGCACTGCAGTGACACCTGATTTAGTGGTGGTATGTTAGTGTGTGTTGTGTTGGTACGAGTGGATCGGACACAGCAGTTCTACTGGAGTTTTTAAACACTCTGTCCACTCTGTTGTTGGTCCACCTTGGGGGTGTGAAGTCAGAGACAGTAGCCCATCTGTTGCTGCACAGTTTGTGTTGGTTATCCTCTAGGCCGACATCAGTGGTCACATGATGCTGCCCACAGGACGCTGTTGGATGGATATTTTTGGTTAGTGGACTGTTTTCGGTCCAGCAGTGATACTGAGCTGTTTTAAAAACTCTAGCAGCACTGCTGTGTCTGATCCACTCGTATTGGTAACTAGTAAAGATACTTTCTCTAGATAGACAAAGCCCTTTGGTAAGTCGCTCTGGATAAGAGCGTCTGCTAAATGCTGTAAATGTAAAATGTAAATGTACCAGCACAACACACTAAAACCACCACCACGTCAGGGTCACTGCGGTACTCAGAATGATCTACCACCCAAATAACGCCTGTTCTGTGGTGGGCCTGTGGGGGTCCTGACCTTTTGAATAACAGTGTAAAACAGGGCTAATATAGTATGCAGAGCATCAGATGGACTACAGTCTGTAATTGTAGAACAACAAAGTGCACCTACATGGTAATTGGAACTGATAAAATGGACAAAGAGTGTAGATACAAGGAGATGGTTTTAATGTTATGGCTGATCAGTGTAAGCAGTACAGAAACCTGAACTGACAAAAATAAAATGTAGCTTTTTTTATAGAATTGTATATTACGACTTTCAAATTCAGGTGAAAACCCGTCAGAAGAGAATGATAGTTTTAAATTTCACTACACTGTTTTGAACATTTTTAAAATACTGTGTCAACATTGTTTCACCCTTGCAAAAAAGCGTATTGCATGGCTCCCAGTAAGTGAGCTATCTTACTTCTGGACTTCGTGTTTAATTACTAAGTCGTCACTGTTTCCACTGTTGCTTCTGTCCTAATAATAGAGGTCTAGCTAGAAATTGTACAGTAATCTGTCATCTTAGAAGATAAAATGAGAAGACCCATAACCCGCTACTCTGCTGTCCTTGTTTCTAAAGAACTATTATGCTCTCAAAACAGCAATCATGTACAGATGTGTCGTGGGAACCTTCAATTACCACCTACTTTCTGTTGAGTTTGTCTTCATCTGTGTTTTATGTGATGGCAGTGGGTTTCAGGGTACCACTTTCTCCTCACTGTAATCTGTAATTACAGTATTAGTTTACAGGCCTGAGATTCTGATTGGATGTTCAGGATTTCTTATAACTCAACAAATCTATCTCAAGTTCATTTGAGTTCTGACATTGGTCTACGCTGCATGGAAATATATTTGACGTTTTTCAGCATTGACGTGTCGACTGCTGCAAGAAATCATTTCTGCCATTGTTTATGTTTTGCAGGAATTTATTGTATAATGTCTGAAGTTAACATTGCAAGGAAAAAAGAGAAGTGTGAAAATTGCACTAAACAGGTAATTACTTGCCAAAGTCATTCAAATGTGCTAAGATTGTGAATTATTTATATACACATAAGTAGTGTGTGTATTTTATTAGACTAGTAGAATTTCTTTATGTAATTACAGTTACATACTTGTCCTAATAGTTACATGAATGATGTCTTTGTAGTAGCTTGATATTGTTTTGCCTTCATTTTATCTCATAGTGCAATAAGAAACAGAGTGATGATGCTCTAAGCTCACTGCAGGAGAAAGGCGTTGCCAATGGAGAGGTAGCTCCAGTCTTTTAATGATCTTACTCTGATGCACTGATACGCCACAACAAGCTGCATACAAAAAGGTCGCTTTTAATAATGTATGTTCTGTTGCATTTTTTGCATGTTTGTGAGAGAGGGAGTAGGGAGACAGAGGGGAAATATTTGTATTATTTGAATGTCTACATCTGATTGCCCGTCTAAGAAGCGCAGTAAGAGGTTGTTTCTCAAAGCTATTTGTTTTTATTTGCTCCTCAGGTGAGCGGACATACTCCAGCCCAACCAGTGCTCCTGAGTGCATGCCTCTCTTGTGATGGCTGTGTGTCTGAAGAAGAGAACAACAGAATCTCTCAACAGAACCTGCAAGAAATCTACCGTGTCCTTGCCCTCAATAAGGTAATGTGAAGCCTGGTGGTCAGCAGTTGAGCTAATGTCTGTCCACAAAACCATCTCACCTGAAGAGAAAGTTTGTCTCTCTGTCCCAAAGTGCACACTTGCGGTTTTGTGTACCTTCTTAAACATGCAAACATACAGTGTTGAAGACCACAGAAAACACACCCCAATACCGCCAAGTGTATGTCCCACAGTTCAACACATTAGGAAAGTTCCAACATTTTGCAGAAATATTGTGAAAGGATGTTAAAATCATAAGAATCTCTGCAATATCTGTCCTGTAAAGATAGGATACATATCAGCATACCTTCACACTTTTGCAGAACAACAAATTTCAAGCATGGACTTTGGAACAGGCATTGTGTTTCATACAATGTGAGTGTGTCTCATACTGTTTGTTTGTTTGTGTTTGCGGGTGACAGAAGTGTGATGCCTCCAAGCACAAAGTGCTAGTGGTGTCTGTGTGTCCCCAGTCCTTGCCGTTTTTCGCTGTCAAATTTCATCTGGATATCCCAGAGGCTGCACAAAAGCTCTGTGGCTTCCTGAAGAGTGTGGGTGAGTCTACCACCAAGCTCGACAAACATGTCCTCTCAGTCTGCCTCCAGATGCCTGTGATATTACACATGCTTGTTTCCTTTCCCCTTTTTGCCCCTCTGCTTTGATTTATACCTGTGTTTATTTTTGGTAGGAAATGCAGTGCATGAAAGGCCTAAAGGACTGTTGCACCTGTGTATTACGTCTATAATGAAATGCTTGGCTCAGTGATATGTTCTCCCTTTCATATGGGAAAGGAAATTCAGTCACAGATGTCTTGTCTTTGTCCTCAGGAATGAAACATGTGTTTGACACCACACTGGCTGCTAGTTTTAGTATATTGGAGAGCCAAAAGGAGTTTGTACAGAGATATCGCCGCAGGCATCATGACACACACGCTATGCCAATGTTCACCTCCTCTTGTCCAGGTAAGCTGATCCTGATGCATATGCTTGATTTCGAGGGCTGCTTAAACGAAGTATAGGTGGGCAATATGTCCATATTTTAATGTATTGTGATTATTATGTTACAGTATGCAGGAGTGTGCTTTTCTGAGCGCATTGTGGATATCATCAGTGCTTAAAGAGCACTGACCAAGATCATGTTTAATTACAAAGTTCCAATCAAATCTCAGAAAAATTAAATATCTTGCATATTGTGTATTGTCTTCAAGTATTGTGATATTGTGTTTTAGCCATATCGCCCACCCCTAATCCTTACCTTTAGTGCTTTAGCTAACCTTAAGCAAGATGAAGCTTACAATATATTATTCAAGTATCGAAGTCATTGCATCCTTGAATCTTTTTTTCCTTACCTTCATGGCTTCTGAAATACTTTAGTGTCATTTAGCATGACCACTAAATAAGTGTTAGAATGAGCATTTTTTTCTTAGTGAGTGTGCATACGAATGTGTGTATGTGTGAAAGAGCACATGTTGTGCCTGGAGGGTGTGACTGAATTAAGATAGCCAAAGCATCCTGCTCTTGTGAGATAGGCTAGTGTGGATAACCTCACACCCTTCCTTGGAGATAAACTGCATTTTCCTTCTTCCTCCAACCTTTTTTCCCTTTTCCAATGTTCCAATGAAATATCGAGAAAAAATCACCTAAGTACAATGAGCTAGCAGACCTAGTCAGGTCTTTAGGAGATCATTTAATGGTACCAACCAGTCATCAATTCGTACATACTTTTATAGTGACAAGCGGCAAAAAACAGTCAGTGAAAATGAACAGAAA